TGCTCTGTCTCCCCTGTCAGCTGTATCCCCTTGTCTAGTTCGCGTCTCTGTGTTTCCTTAGTTGCTATATCCCCGTGTCCGGTCAGTGTCTGTCTGCCCTGGTCCCACGTCTCTGTTCCCTCTGTTGCAGTGCGTGTGAGTCTGTGTCTTTAGTTCACTCTGTGTCATGTTTCCTGTTTTATTTTGAAGGTCCTTGTCTGATGTTATGTATCTGGTTTTGCTTCCTTTGTCTCGTTAGGCCTGATTTGCCCCAGCTGTGTTTCCCTCCTGTTACCCATTCCCTGATTGCTCCCTCTGTGTATTTGAGCCCTGTGTTTCTTTGTGCCTGTGTCGCGATCTACCGTTTACCTAGCTGTGTGTTCTGTCAGTCCTCCGGTGTAAGTTTATTTTGATTTTTTCCAGTTATGTTATGTTTGAGTTCAGCATTAAAGCTGTTTTTTGAAGTTTACTTTGTGCCTCCGAGTGTCTGCACTTTTGGGTCCACGATTCCTGTCTGCACACAGCCGTCACATAACACTGTTCCAGTCATAAGATACCTGGTTGTTGAGGTGTTCATAAAGCTTTCATCAAACATGTGTTTAGACAGTCCTTGGAGTCGATGCAGTGCAGCGATGTCAGAGCTGAGCTCCTCCCACTCATCTTCTTTCACCTCTGAAAACATTGAAACACAGTTTAAATTAGTTAAGGGGAACTAAGTGCTGGTTCCAGTTAAGAACCACTCCTACACTGTGTTTGTATGCCCCTAATCAACTATAACAGACATTTTATAAGTGATTGTGGCGCAGCTGCAGCGAGGTGCACGCACCTGAGCGGCATCAATGATCACACTGCGCCTGAATTAAAAGGGTGACTGACGTCCTGTCGTCGTCGTTGTTGTTGGGGAAGTGTTCATGTGTGTGCGTGTAAAGTGACGGCAACCGAGAGTAAAAACAGAACGCTGAAAAACATAGAAATGTGTTTGTCTCTGCTGTGTGCCTGTAAAGTGATCCATGCTCAATCATCCAGGTAAGTCACTCTCCAAAGTTTGATCCTGTTCATCTGGACGTTTTCAGTGGGAGAAACGTTTCATCATCATCATCATCATCATCATCAGGTGACTCCTTCAGTCTCAGCTGACAACAAGTGGCAACCTTATAAATAGCACATTTGCATAATGACAGAAACAATGACTGTTGGGGAATGGCTGCAATCACAGCATTGTAAGATGGTGACAGATGTTCCCTTAGGCCCCTCCTCGATTCAGAGATGGTCTTTCCCTTTTCACGTAAATGGCCTCCTTGACTCCGCCCTCAAACCAGCGTTCCTCACTGTCCAGGATGTTACATCCTCATCATTGAAAGAGCGTCCACTGGCCTGTAGGTGTAAATAGACACCACTCGCTCGTTGTATGCGTCAGTGTACACCTGGCTCTAAAATACTCTACGTTCTTGTTTGTACCTTGCCTAAGGGCTAACCTGTGACCTGTGACATCAGGTCAGGTGGGTGATAATACCAGTGAGATTGGGTACCAAGCTCCAAGTACAAAGAAAGGAGCGCAGAGTGCGACAGAAGCTGACCAGAGAGACAGGATGATGGCGAAGCTGGAAACCTGGAGCCTTCAGTCACGAAGACTACGTGAAGTATCATCTGAAGGTCAACTAGAAGATGTGAAAGCAGCATTACGGGCAATCATCACTGCGACCATCAATGAAACTAACCAGGTGATCAACACTACAGCCATGTGTATGCAAGCAGGCCGCTTGGTGCTATAGCTACAGGAGAGGCTGGATCATTGGATGGTTAGGGGTCAATTTATGATGAAGGTGGTGCAGGACAGTGGAGTTGTGGCCCCATTTTCCTGCTTATTGAACAGAAACTACCACAGAGATTCCCATTTAATAATCCAGAGCAATAAACGTAATATTTACATTATTGATTTTAAGCAAAGCAGAATGTTGGAAACTTAAGGTAGGATTAATTCAAGGATTATAATATAGTAATACTATCCAAATCGGCTAAAACATCAGTCACTATTACCTTATTATTATTAGGTTATTCCAATTGAAACTGTATAAAATGTGAAAATTCAAACTCATTTTGTATTGTTACAAAGGTATTACACTATTATTACTGACGGCCACCATGAGTTTACTTGAATATTAACTGGTTACTATTAGTAAGTAACGATAAGTGTTATAACGTGTTTGTTTGTTAGGTTGGACTCGCAAGCGAGCCCAAGAGGAGGAGTTGTCGAGAAAAACCTGTTATTTTACGGTCACTTTGTTATCATTTACATGCACTGTCATTATTTTATCATTATTTCATTAGTCTGCATCACTGATCATCAGTTTAT